AGCTCAATTCTTCTAGTTGATGATCACAAACTTTTGATGATACCACAAAATATCAGTTTCAGAAATCCATTTGCATCGCTTCTATGTTTTATTTGGAGCATTGATTAGTTTGTAATTTATCTATTCCACTTTAACACTTTGAAGTCAGTTCTTTATGCTTAGATTTCCACTGAAATTGAAACTCGTATCTTTAATTTGCTCATTTTCTTGGTAATTTCCTGTTACATAGTGATGTGACGTCTAACAACTCAGACATATACATATTTGTAGTAAATCTTTGTGATAGTTAAGAGTAGTTAAAATATATTGCAAACTAAGAATCCCAGAAATAAACAAGAGGAACTACATGAGCATGAACGAACGTATTGCATCAAAAATTCATAACCAAGCAGTCACCAAGTACAAACGCCACAGCCGCCACAGTTTAAATGGGTTTCCAAATTTCTGAAATTAATTGTACCTCTTCTCCGTAGGTAATAATCATATAATCATTAGCAGTAGAATTAACTACTGAAATCGGAACGGACTCACTTGGATCCTGAAATTGTATAAAATCACCATCCCCGTTGTATGCCGAAACCACTGATATCTAGAATTTGAACCAACGACTTTACATCACTATCCTGCCCCACAAAATAATGTTGAATTTTCATATCCTCAAGTCATGAATAATCTAGCTTCATTTAAAACATATTTCTCACATTGACCAGAGTATTCATTAGAAGTGACTTCATGATAAGGTTAAACAACAGTTGATATTACATCATCCGAATTGTAATCAAAATTGAGCTCATTCAGTACCCATACATCGCATTGTACAAGTTTCCCATAATAAACAAGCACATCATGAGGACAAATATTATCTGATATTACATCAGAATTCAATTCTTTTGAAATACTTTCCTCGAATTTATTAAGAATGTCATTGAAGAGTGATGGATCATTAGAAAAGTCAGTATCCATCAAAACTGAACCAGATTTTTTTTATCATGGTTTGATTCATTCAACATGTTTTCCTCAACTTTATAAGAAATTTCACAATAAATATGTGAATCATTAGAGCAAATCATATCTGATATGACAACGTGAGAAACTCTATCAGAACTTGATTGACTAGAAGTTTTTGTCTCATAATGGTTATGAGTTTTATTTTAATCTGTACTGCTGTACGACTATACTGTTTTTTGAAGGCGTGGATAAAGATAAATGATCATTAGATACACTCAACTTCATAAGATCAGAATTACAAAACTCAGCATCGCGTGAGGCTAAATGGATAGTAGTATTACGAACTGACTGAATGTGTTCAATCTCATCACATTTAAAGCATTAAGCATTATGAAATACACATGAATTACATGGGTGAAACTTGCCACAGGACAAACATTGATCAAACTGGTGCTCATCGTCGTGAACAGATTCGCAACTTTTCAATGAATTGATATCTGCATGATCTTAATTACGCATTGGACTGGGATGGCGTAATAAAGTAGAAAAATTTCTGATGTCCTGAAGAATTATCTTCTGAAGTTTTTCTCCTTTACCACATTCAAAATTTGTACACTTTACATGGTTTAGTATTAGTTGCTTGAGGGTTGAATAAGGAAGTAAAATCGTCTTGTTTGAAAATGCCAGTCTTTATTAAACTGTATACTTCTATTAAACTCCGTCTGTAGCTGTTCTAGAGTTACTGCCGGTCCTAAGTCTGGGTGACGGAGGAGGGTTGGGCATAAGGTCGACAACCCCATCTCGTAGAAAAAATCTTGCTAAGAAAACGCCAACTAGATTTTAAAAAATTAAATCATTTAAACTCTGTCCTAGGAGTTGAAAGAAGAATTATGACGCCTCAGGATGAATTCATGAAGACGATGTCCATTTTACCAACCACAGCAAGAGGAGGAAATATGAAACAATTATATAATACGACGAAGAAACCGGCAGGGAAATATATTAGACCAGAGAGATCGGTTAGGGATAAAGAAGGAAAGACAATCACTGAGATTCAAGAACAGAGGAACAAATGGTTAGACTACTTCGAGGAACTGTTGAATAGACCAGCCCGATTGAATACACCGGACATCAAAGCAGCACACACAAACCTTCCTATAGATGTCACTATACCAACGATCGTAGAAATCAGGATGGCTATCAGGCAAATCAAGAGTGGGAAGGCAGCAGGACCTGAGAATATACCAGCTGAAGCACTAAATTCAGACATAGAAGTAGCTGCACGCACGCTTCACATTCTATTCAATAAGATTTGGGAGGAAGAATACGTTCCGGAAGACTGGAAAGAAGGATACCTCATCAAGATACTAAAGAAAGGAGATGTGAACAAATGTGAGAATTACAGAGGCATCACACTGTTGTCAGTACGAATAAAAGTTTTCAATAGAGTGTTGCTGAACCGGATGAAATACGCAGTAGACGCTCAACTTCGAGATCAACAGGCTGGATTCCGCAAAGATCGGTCGCGGATAGATCAAACCGAGCTACCACGGATCATCGTTGAACAACCGATTAAGTGGAACTTGTCACTATACATCAACTTCATCGACTATGAGAAGGCATTTGACAGAGTGGATAGGAGAAACTTATGGAAAATTCTCCGATACTATGGAATTCCTGAGAAGATTGTTAATATTATCCGGAACTCATACGACGGACTACAGTGCAAAGTGGTACATGGAGGACAGCTGACAGATGCATTTCCAGTAAGGACTGAAGTCAGACAAGGCTGTCTACTCTCCCGCATCCTCTTTCTACCGGTGATTGACTGGATTATGAAGACCTCGACATCTGAGGGAAACACGGAATACAATGGACATCTCAGAACCAATTAGACGACTTGGACTTCGCAGATGACCTAGCCCTCCTATCCCATACACACGGACAAATGCAGATGAAGACAACAAATGTAGCAGCGGCCTCTGCACCAGCATGGCCTCGGTATACGAAAAGTAAAAAGACCCTCAAATACAGCACGAAGAAAAACCAACCCAAGTCACACTTAATGGAGGAACTCTGGGAGATGTATAATCTTTCACGCACCTGGGAAGAATCATTGATGATCTATAGAGATTGGATTCAGACGCAAAGGCGAGGATTGGCAAAGCAACGACAGCATTCCTGCAGTTGAAGAACATATGGAACTCAAAACAATTGTCAACCAACACCAAATTCAGAATTTTCATTACAAATGTCACGACAGTTCTACTGTATGGGGTGGAGACGTAGAGAACTACGAAAGCCATTATCCAGAAGATACAAGTGTTTATTAACAGTTTTCTACGCAAAATACTTCAGATCTGTTGGCCAGACACTATCATCCACAACCTACTGTTGAAGAGAACAAACCAGATTCCAGTGGAGGAAGAAATCAGGAAGAATCGCTGGGACTCGATATGACGCACATTGAGGAAATCACCCAACTGCATCACAAGGCAAGCCCCAGTTTCGAATCTTGAAGGGAAGCGGAAAACCAGAAGGCCGAAGAGCACACTACATCGGGAAGTGGAAGCAGATATGAAAAGAATGAATAGTAACTGGAAAGGATTACCCAGGACAGGGTTGGATAGTGTTGGTGGCGGGCTATGCTCTTCCACGAGGAGCAACAGACGTAGGCAAGTAGATGGGTAATGATTATTTTCCGATGAATATCAGGAAATGAATCACAATATTAACATCCTCAACATCTTCCTTCTTCATAATCTAGATTTCGAACCTTTTCATGTTATCCTTAAAAGCATCAAAATCTGAATGTATGTCCAACCGTTTCATCGCATGCATTCATCAAGTACGAACGAATCATCAGTTCTTAACAATACCACAATCTTGCATTGTTGATGACCTACTGGCTCAACTATCTTTATGTTTTCGTATCAATTGTAGCAATAACTACTATACTATACTATTTGTTATTCTATAAAAAATGATATATATCTAGTGATTGAGGGTAGTTTTTGATTTCTTTATGGGAAGATCTTTGCTTGCATTAATATTGATATCGGCAACAAGTAGAAATTCGATCGCAGTTTAAGGCGATTTAACGTACCGAAACCGAAAGGTGATTAACGTTTACTAGCTAACTAAGCATACAGAGTCATTTAATACTGAATCTATTATGAGGTCTTCTTAAGATAGAGTTTCATATGTTCATAGTTTAAGATGGATTTATGAAAGATGAAGAAAGCAGTTATCACAGTCTTGAAAAATGTGACACAAACTTTGAAAAAGCTATACTCCCTTAATCTGTAAATACGTTTCTACGCCGACAACTCAAAGCTCAATAAATCCTCTGAAAATGCAGGCGTGTGAATTAAAGTAGTGTTTTATTACCTAGAGTAATCTTTCACTAGCCGAAATTTTGTAATCCGCTTAATAGTTTGTAGAGCTATTCAGGTTTAAGACCTGAAAATATATTTAGTTTGTTTTCGAAGATATAACTCAACACAATTCATGATCTATTTTTCCCTTGCTCGTTGTTGCTGTTAACATCAATTCCGTGAGTTGGATACGTTTTCTTTCACTAGCTCTCTTAATTTATCTAACACAATTTTGGTTCATTAACACCATTATAATTTCACCACTATGTAACCAACATAGAACTATTATTTCGAATGAAGTATCAGTTCTCATTTTGCAATCACTGTGTATTGCTAAGTTAACCATTTTGTTAATTGATCCAATTCTGTTTTTTATCTTCGGCAAATAATATAACTGTATTATTATTACTCGGAACTTACAAACATCTCCTTTAAGAATACTGATATACTGTGTATGATTTTTAAGATAATTTCTTTCCCGTCTATTGTAATTGTAAAAATATACCATGAATTCGTGTTTCCTTCATAAGCATTGCTTTCGATTCCTTTTCTTAAATTTCTCTTTGATCTATTTTAGAATTTGTTTCAACACTTGTAAAAATTAGTTATATTTGTGATAAGTGAAATCTATTGGAAAAACGCTCATCAGCTTCTTACATGATGATTCGTCTAAACATGTATGATCACCTTGTGATTGATCGGGAGATTATGATATGTGAGCTCTTTAAAGCTATAAAGTGTAGTAAAATAGAAATGGATTTGCTGAATGATGCTATGGTAAGTAAATTAATCATGTATGTCAAACTATTCCTTCAAATATTGATGAATATTCGTACAAATTATTTTGTAGTCGATTTAAATCATTCATGTATTTACTATCTTCTTCTCTTAAGGAAATCTGATTATGCTTATTTAGAGATCATAAATAGAATCTTAAGGGATGTAAATTATTCATGAGGATTTATAAAGTGAACATGACATAATCTAATAACCTACAACCTGGGAAATGACTTAATCTTTTATGAATTTAGTTATCACCTTGAATACAGTTAGCTTAGACATTAGTATCCCTCTCAAGGTATTTGAACTTTCAAAATGACGTGAAATAGTTTGTGAGAATTTATTTCTGTGTAAATCACATCTGTTTATTTAGTGGCGGCTACAGCAATAAAAATGAGTGTTATAGTGTAAGATAGATGACTATTTTCCCTACAAATAGCTTGTATTTTTATATTTCACGTTTGATCATATTGTTTAGTTCATTTGGATGGATAAGTAAAGTACACCATACAAATCATGAAGAAGCCAAGATGGGCAAATCTGATAGTTTAATCTCACACAGAGATGAATTTATCAACTCGGAAGTACAACTGTATTGATAAATATTATCTAGAGTTATAACTAGTGGATTTATTCTTTACTGTTGTAAGTTTTCATTACCTTTGCGTCATAACAGCGATAACTCTAACGAACTCCGATTAAGTTTACATCAACCCCCTTCTTTGCTAGCTCCAGCTGCTCAAAAAGATAACCTCGTTAATCGAATTTATTTGGAGAGTCCAAAGAAAAATTATCTTTCCATAATAAATTGTATTTCGAAACTTAGCATCCCCAACACTAGTACTAAGGTTTACTGTACTCGGATGAATTTCTGATGAATACACTTCGAAGGATGTTTTGTGACTTCAATGAATGAATCTAATGTACAGTGTCTATCCATTTGGTGTCAGAACTCTTATTATCCTCGACTGTGAGTTAATGACTCTTTTAAACGCGAAATATTTAGCATACTACTTAAAATTGCAGGGAAAGATTTATTCATAAGAACCCTGGAGATATTTCCTCATAAGCATAATCAATTTGATTTCTTCAAGAAAATATTGAATTTTGTAGGCGTAAAAGAGTGAAGGACAGGATTTGTCCAAAGACTTCATAACAGAGATGGACTGTATGAAGTCTGCAAGTAATTCACTTCACTAGTTGTTATTATAGTACAACTTGACGATAAAAAACTTCCCAAATCTCTCTGATCTTTTGACACAATGTTTTTAACATAAAACTGACGAGAAATTCAGTGCACTTCATTCGTAAGCCGTAAAATTTGATAAATCTCCCAACAGTGAATCCCAACTGGGGAGAAAGAATGTTTCTGTAATTGAATTTGTTAACGTGACTGGATGTCCTGTCTAGTATACGTTAACCAGAGAACCGTGTACTTGTTTCTATTCGACAAAATTTCGTGTTTGATTACATTGCCATGAGAAAAACTTGGACTAGATTTCCAGGTGAAACGTTGGATTTATTTCAAATTCATTTGCTGGGATTTTACAAATACATCCTTTCTCCTTAATGTTACACATCAACTCGGCACCCACTGTGAAACTGTTCGATCAAATTTAGACGAAGGTTCGTATGTAAAAAGTTCAACTATTCATTTATATCATATCAGTGACTGGTTGAATGCAATGAACGTTGCCTTTGAAAACGACAGGTTGTTTGGATCACACCGTGTGAATCCTTATTTATTTATATTCATGTTTAATCTCATGTTAAAATTCTTTTTAAAATAAAACCGCACGTTTAAAAATTATTTTTAGGTGCTTCTTGACGATCTCAAGGAAGCATCTTACAATAAAATAGATCATGTATACGAATTACTGTTAGAAGGTGATAGCTTCCAAGCTCTTAAAAATTGGGCGTTTACACACAAGTCTACCACCTTGTTGCAGTTAAAACAAAATATTGCAAATGAACATTATTTAAATAACTCAAATACTCCGAGATATATCAACCACAACCGAAATTATCTCGTGTAACCAGCAATGTTACACATCACATCTCGCCTACATTTCTACCTGAATTCCCGAAAGCACGCGGACTCTCTCCCGAAAATCTGAGGTTGGCCAAAAACGAATTCGACCACACGATATACTTAGAAATCATTCGGCCGTCAAGTAGCCCATGGTCATCTCCTTTGCACATGGTCCCTGAAAAGGACAGCAATGATTGGCGTCCAACTGGTGATTATCGGCGTCTGAATGCTAAAACCATTCTCGATCGTTATCAATTGCCTCATATTCACGATTTCACAGCTACCTTGAAAGGTACATCCGTCTTTTCAGAAATCGACTTTGTTCAAGCTTATAACCGAATTCCTATGGCAACTGACGACATTCCGAAAACTGCCATCATTACTCCTTTCGGCTTCTTCGAATTTTCACGAATGCTCTTCGGCCTAAGAAATGCGGCACAAACCTTCTAAAAGTTGATAGATGACGTATTCCGAGGTCTCAACTACGTACATGAGTATGTTGATGACTGTTTGATTGCAAGTCCAAACAGAGAATCACATTTCCAGCATCTGGACATTGTTTTCGAACGACTCCAAAGGCATGAAATTACTGTAAACATTCGGAAATGTCAAATCGTGATCGACTCCTTAGACTTTTTAGGACACACTATTGATACTCAAGGCATCCGACCTCTTAGAAACAGAGTGGCGGCCATTCTGGACTACCCAGAACCGACCACAATTGAGCAGTTGCGCACTTTTAACGGACTTGTAAGTTTTTATAGACCGTTCATACCAGATTGCCCATCACTTATGAAACTGTTAACCGACCAACTTCGTGGAAATGCGAAATCAAATAATCTAGACGACACCGCGCGAAAAGCATTCTCCACAGTTAAGGAACATATCGCTCAGGCAACCCTGCTCGCACATCCGGACAATCAAGCGACCATTTTTATTGTCGTAGACACATCCAAATGAGCAATCGGAGGAGTCTTAAAACAAAGGGTTATTCACTCTTGACAACCTATAGGATTTTTCTCGATACGGTTGCTAGACGCGGAATCTAGGTACAGCACGTTCGGTAGGGAACTCCTAGCTATGTATTGTGCTGTACGGCATTTCCAACATTCCATCGAAGGAAGAAAATTCACGCTTTTTACCGACCATAAAACTCTTACCTGCTCTTTAAGTTCATTTTCTTATAAGTACTCACCCCGCGAGTCTCGACAACTGGACTACATTTCGCAGTTTACTTCAGATATACAACACATTTCTGGAGGAAACAATGTAGTTGCAGACGCCTTGTCTCGTATAACTTCCTTGAACAGTTTCCAAGGAATCTACCTTCTAAATCTCGTCCAGCTTCAAAAAGAAGATATTGATCTTCAGCACGAGTTATCCCCAACAACTCTAAAACTGCGTATTAAACAGATGGAAACAGGTAAGGAAACCTTATTATGTGACACCTCTACAGTTAGGGATCGACCAATAGTACCAAAACATTATCGACGCAACGTCTTTAATACGTTGCAAAATCTTTCTCATCCAGTTGTTCGTGCATCCATCAAGCTTATACTCTAACGGATTTGCTGGCCTGGTATGAATAAATACGTGAGGGAGTGGGCACGCTCCTGTGTAAGCTGGCAGAAATCTAAAGACATTGGACACGACAAATGTCCCTTAGGACCTTTCAAAACCCCTGATGCTCGTTTCGGCCATGTTCATCTAGATTTGGTAGGACCCTTACCTGATTCAAACGGATACTCATATCACTTAACATGCGTAGACCGTTTTACTCGATGGCCAGAAGCGGTATCTATTAAGGACATTACTGCCTACCACACACAAGCAAACAGTTTGGTAGAACGTTCTCACCGATAACTAAAGGCTTCGCTATCAGCTACAAACGTTTCACAATGGACAGACGCTCTTCCACTCGTCTTACTAGGTATCCGCAGTGCAGTGAAAGCTGACATTGGATACACTGCATTACAACTTGTTTATGGAACAACACTCCGATTTCCAGGAGAGTTCGTGGATCCTTCGTCCTCTTCAATGAACATGGATCTAAACTCCTACACGAACAGGCTTACAAATGCAATGCGTTCAGTTAAACCTGCCTACACTCGGCCGCAATCAACTGATGTTTTCGTTCAACCTGAATTACGTTATGAAATACATCTCTTCGTACGTCGAGTCTCACATCGACAACCCCTCGAATCAACATACTAAGGACTCTTCAAAGTTCTTCAGCGTGAACCTAAGTACTATAGAGTCGATAAGAACGGCACCAACGATAGCATCAACATCGATCGCCTAAAAGCAGCATATTTAGAAGGAAATCCTATCTACGTCGATTTTCCTTCAGTTCAATTGAACGACACGGCTCCTGCACTCGTAGTACCCTATTTGACAGCCGACACGCACGTTGATACTCCATCAGCGTCTGAAAATAAACTTAAGACAACGCGTTCTGGAGGAGTAAGATTTCCAGGACGTCTAAACGACTATTGCACGTAGGATACAAACTTTATCCCGATTTTCCCTTGCATCATATATTATGAAAAATTTAATATGCTCAATTTTATATATTTATTCCAAAAAACCCATTTTTTTTACTAATAAGCGTATATTTAAAAAAACAGAAAAATTGTTCAATCGCTTTTACGCTGTTGCAAGCGTATTGGTTTATTTACCTTTCTTTCCGCTTACCTTGTGTCTTTACTCAAGTAAGAGTGTATTTCGGTATGCACTCACACGTTCTACTTTTTTCCTTTTCCAGGACCGCTGGAAAAGAATGATGTAGTTTATAAAGAACCTAGATCTCGATTGTATTTTATTTTGCGATTATTTTATTTTATTTTATGGCTCATTATATTAAGGAAAGACGACCAGACGCTGCTAAACATAGCAAGCTATCAGAAGAGTGTTTACCAAGGACAAATTCGTTGGGTTTAAACTTTTTGCTGGCCACGTCGTAGGGTCATCACTACCTCACTAGGGGGGGGGGAAGTGAACTGTAGCTATAAATAATTCCCCAAAATCAGTAGCTTTTTAAGTGTTCGACATTGGATGCTGACCAAATTAGTTTTAGTAGACTAGATTACCTGAAGGCGTTTGGTCATGTATCCTCAACAAATCACGTTACAGCACGGCGTCAATACAAAACACAGTTATCGTCAATTTGTAAATTGTTTCTCCGCATAATCTTCCATATTCAGAAATTCTCCAAGTTGCTCACCTGCATAGAGTTGATTATTCGAAAAGCTTGAGTCTTTTAATTAGTTGACAGAAGTCGTAAGTTGAATAATAGAAAATGAATGGTTAATTTCCTAGCATACCCAATGCAATTCTGAAAAGCAACTAATTAACCGTGAAACAAACGAATAAGCTTCGTTATCAGTATGAGATTCAATAAGTTAACGAAACAGCAGCTGACAAGATGTACCTTTAAGTGTCTTACTTGCTGTAAACAGTGCTCTTCATTTTCTAACCCTTCTAGAATTTCATCTAGTTATTTGGTGTTAACAAACAAACGGCAACAACCAGATAAGCGGATTCAAGAACTTTAATGAGCAATATGAAATCTGAAATAATCCAAATACAACGTTCATAATGCTATTAGCAGTTCGCTGTTTACATACAATAATGAAATAACTGGTAATCATTATTTCGATATTACTCGTCAACACACATTAAAACTTTGTTTATGATTCGGTCAGTGATTTCGAATTCTGTTAAAAGAGATTTTTTTGTTAACTTTATAACAGATGAATCATCACGGTTATTTAATTGCATCACCACACTCTTTCCAGGATTCACTTCTAGTGACCACCCGTCCATCCATACCACCAATGAGTTGAGATCATTCTGAAATACTATTCTATCCTACATTCTGTATATGGGTCTCCAAAACTTTATGTCATTGGCGGAGAGTAGAACAGATGACTTAGCTACAGTTGGTTATTCATTGGCATAAAGTAAAAAGAGAAGAGGACCAAGGATTGTGTTTGATGTACTCCACTTTATACAGGTTCCCAAGATGAGGAAGCTCCCTCTACTCTTATCTTTCTTCCCCTGTCATGGAGAATAACGCTTATCCAGTCTATGACCGTATAACGAATTCCAAATGTTTCCAGTTTTAATTTAAGACCAGAATGGGAGACCTTATCAAACTCTTTACTTAGATCTATGAAAATCGCATCTACAGGAATATTTCGATCTTTTGCCTCGGTTTAATCTTCTCTTGCATTGAAAAGATTTCTCAAACATGATAGGCCTTTCTGAGAACCATGTTATTTCTTGGATAAAAGGTTATGTCCTTCCATACAGTCTATAATAATAATAATCTATTCTCGAATAACAGTTTGTTACATGAGGTATGCCGATTTACAGGCAAGACCAAATCATTATAGAAGTGACGATTTTCACCGTTAAAAATTATCCAGCTGGGTTGATATTCATAGAAGAATAGTTAGGGCGTGACCATCTAGTCTATTTGTCTATTATTGAAGTACTTATTAGGCAAGAACAGTCTAATATGTTAAAGAAAATAAGTGTGAACAAGGTATGAGCGGATAAGGAACTGTATAAGTGCAGGTGGTTCCGTTAGAAGCTGAAAGTATGGAATTATATGTAGTTATCAAATGTAGTGCTGAAAACGGTATTCCGAAACACGAATGGTTGTCTCCCTTCTTTATTGAAGCTATTTGAACCCTTGTTTTTGTTTTCAGACTTTATAGGGTATGAAGTGGGCTTCGCTTTTAGCCAATAGTCTAGTTTGTCTGTAATAGGATTACTCGCGGGGAAGTAAAGTCAGTTCAGAGTTTTATTCACGATTTTAAAAGGTATTTCGCATTTATAAAACAACACCAATACCGTTGGTTCGTGACACCCCACTTGACAAAAGGAGCCGTAATTTAACAGCGTATTCTGCCCCACAGACACAGATTGTTTGAAGTTATCTTCCAACCATCATGTTTGCTGGCCAGTAACACCACCCTACCTCCCTTTATGATGTGAGGCTCTCTTACGTTTGTGGTAAGTGTGGATATTGCTTTAATCAAGGCCTATAGTTGGAATACATTATCTCTACTAGTTCCATGTTACAAGCAGATCAGATGGCTAAATCATTTGTATTATGGGTTAGACATCCACTAAGCATATCATACTGCTATGAAGACAACTAGTGGTATAAGCTATAAGAGACAGGTCAGATGATGTGGTTGAGGGATGGTAAGAACTGATAGCAAATCAAAGGAAGTGAAAAAGTAGAAGTCTGTAAAATTTAATTAATAATTAAATTAATTAATAATTAATAACCATGCCAATGAATAACCAACTGTAGCTAAGTCATCTGTTCTACTCTCCGCCAATGACATAAAGTTTTGGAGACCCATATACAGAATGTAGGATAGAATAGTATTTCAGAATGATCTCAACTCATTGGTGGTATGGATGGACGGGTGGTCACTAGAAGTGAATCCTGGAAAGAGTGTGGTGATGCAATTAAATAACCGTGATGATTCATCTGTTATAAAGTTAACAAAAAAATCTCTTTTAACAGAATTCGAAATCACTGACCGAATCATAAACAAAGTTTTAATGTGTGTTGACGAGTAATATCGAAATAATGATTACCAGTTATTTCATTATTGTATGTAAACAGCGAACTGCTAATAGCATTATGAACGTTGTATTTGGATTATTTCAGATTTCATATTGCTCATTAAAGTTCTTGAATCCGCTTATCTGGTTGTTGCCGTTTGTTTGTTAACACCAAATAACTAGATGAAATTCTAGAAGGGTTAGAAAATGAAGAGCATTGTTGTACTCATTTAAGTCACACCACACACGAAAGATGCTGGAAGCCTAACTCGCACTGGTTTTGCGTGTTTTGTTGTACAAATATGACGTTACTGATCAGGGAAACTATGAACTTGTTAGCCTTGGCCTGTTAAAAGTAAGATAATTTTTGCGCTGGTAACACAAATACTGACAGTGAAAGTGTCGGTGTTGTAAGTGCTGTTACACGACGCGTTAAACGTCTTATTGAGATTGACAGAAAAGTGAAATTTCCGTCAAAACTAACGAGGGGTGAAGTGCCACATGATATTTTGAATGGGTGGTCATGCATCTCCAGTGGAAATTGAAGGCCCGGATAAAACAGTCGCCGTCCCAAATAGTTGTGGTGTGATTGTCCTGAGTGATGAAAAATGGACAGTAGTACGCAGTAAGAGAAGTGAAAAAAAGCTTGATCGGTAGGTTGTTGATAATCTCTCATTCTGAATCACATAATACACTATCAAACTCTGATAGTAAGGCAGAACTCCTGCCCTGGCGTGACTGTGAAGAATATAATCACATCGAATATTATTGTGCTTCGTTTGCTGGAGTCAAACGGCTCCGATTCCAAAATTAGACGCCCACGTGGATTGGGGAATATATCCGTAGCATTTTTACCAGAAAAATCTAAGGGAGTTCAGATCAAAAAATTTGTTAGAATAGGTAAGAGGGCCGATGATAGTGTTCAACCCCGACCACGTAGAATCTTTAGGTTAATCCTAGGGTCGGAGAAACAACGAGATCTTCTGTTAAGTCGCACAGATAATCACGACAATCCTGACATTCAAGTAAGACCTGGTGTCTCTGAAAGATAGAATTAATTACACAGAAAGCCTTAACTTTGAAGAACGTGCCCCCTCTATTATCTATTAAGCTGGACGGCTAATTGGCTTCATAACGAAAAATTCCTTCGCAACAGAGGATAAGCTTACCGTTTACAAAATATGTGTATGACCATCCCTTGAATACTGAACTTTTATCTTCTCTAATATGAATACCACAGACAAAATAAGAGTAAAAGGTGTTCAAAGACGCTTCGCACGCCAACTGCTAGGAAGTGACTACACGCTAGACTACACAGATAGATGTAAGCACCTCATTTTAGAACCTTGGTAGTACCGTATGCTAAAAAGCAATCTGATTTTTCTCTACAAATCAATCAATGGTCTCCCATACCTAACCTCCTGCCCAACTATGATACATGACACAGTCCATAGACTAAGAAACAACGCATTCACACTATTTACCGCAACACCAAAGACAAATGCGTTGTGTTTTACAGTGCGGTATAGTTTATTGTATAATATAACGAACCCCGCTGTTATTGATATGAATGTAACCAAATTACAGAACACATGCTTTATCCTCTCTCACTATTCCTTGACTATTAATCATGGCCTTCTGCCTTAACCCTCACTTTTAGATTCCGAATCTCTCTAATGGTTAAAACCACATTATCCTTCCTAAGTGTCATGTCCTTTTATTTTTATTTTTCATATTATAAGTAGACAGATAACTCATTAATTTTATGGATGTTGGTCAACTAAGGCCGATGAAAAGAAGTTCAAATGCCCTAAATTCTTGTTAGTTGCTCACTGTTTTATTCTTCTAACCATGATTAATTTATTTTAATAGACTGTTACCAGTTGAAAGTCTTCTGAGTTTCATCAAAGAAATCTGTGTGAACCTCAGGTTGTTTGAAACACTGAGTCAACGGAGTCTGGGTGTGAAAACAGTACTAGTTCAATGGGTTTTAATAACACTAATGAGAAAAATACTGACCCTAGCTAGTGCAAGTGAAGGGATATCCAGTGAACTTTATACACTATAATGAAAGATATGCAAATTATCTCAAGTATAAATGGATAGTGGCTAGCAGTGGAATCCAGGACGCGCGTTTCGCCCTATTTTGGACTCGTCAACTGGATGTGCCTGCATCTCAGAGTTGATGTCCACTCTGGGACTTGAACTCAGAGACTGACCAGTTGCAGTCCTAACAAATCGATGGGAAAATTCAAACAAACAATACTGAATGAATTTATCTTAAGTATAGCTAAAAATCCTTAGATAGTGTGTATTCGATCAGCCCCTATATCAAGTTGTATCTGGATATTTAGGAGTAATTTAAGTTGTCGGTTAACGCAATCTTTTGAAAAAAATTTGTTCTGAGCATTTAGGGTTATGAGGCACAAGAGGTCTTTGTTCACGTTACATGATGTTATTCCCATCATAAAATGCTGCATTTCTGACTAAAATGCTCTCTTACACATTAAATAAAAAATAGAAATCAACAAAATGTAATATTCTTTCTACATTCAGGCACACGTGTTTAATGTAATGTTTTGTTTTTCTGCTCTACATTTACGTCATAGTAGTTACAAGAGCTGCTCAACTATTTCAAAATGTCGAATTGTAACCCGTCATGAACTTTTCCAAATTAAAGGCTAGTTTCTATTAATCGTCTTACATTAGGTTTATTTAATTGCCTATTATGATCGATTTTTGTTTAATTATAACACTATGTGAACTTGTTAAGCTTGCTGTGATAAAAAACTGTTATTCCTATCATATAAATATTTACTCACGTATTCTTCTCTTCACACCCTATTCTCTTGAACACAAGGGTTTTTGAGGTTAATACCAAACCCCAAGAAAGTTGTTTCATATTTGGAGCCTCGCTCTCCCTACATCAGTTTTCATTACCTGTTTTTTTTACATAAAATTTGTGTTGTTGTTAATTGCTTCTGACCTCTAAATCCTGCTTTACAAATGACTTTTGATCTTCGTCAAGCTTGCACTACGAATTTCTTCTGACCTGAATGCAGAATTATAGCTACGACAAATCAATGTCGTGAATCTTTCTAGAATTCTGTTATTAAACAGTAGGTAAACAATGTCTTTGATGATTTTCGATGACTTAGAGGTTAATTTGACAGAGCCTATGTCATATGGCGTCAAAAAGTATCCATGTTTTGTTGAATATGTGTTTCTAGATAGTCGAGCTTAAAGTCTTCAGTCTTCAGTAATAAGGATAGAAGGTCTAGTGACCTATTTTAATCCCTGCAGTTTGTTACACTGTGGAGGTCCAATCTCGTCTTGAATATATCAACAGAAGGTGCTGATATTACGTGTTCTGGTAGAGAATTCCAGTAATTCACTACTCGGTGCGAGAAACGAAACTCCAGACGTAGACGATTTGATCTCGGTTTTTGGACTTTCTTTGAATGTCCTCTCAAATGCTCAGCCCTAGACGGGAGGAAAAGATAGGACATGTTAGTACCAAGGTCATCGTTCAGGATACGATATGCCAATATTAGATCACCCCGTATTCGCCGGTAAGATAACGGAAATAAGTTGAGGTGCCTCAGTCTGTCTTCATAAGATAGGCTAGATAAGCCTTTTACCATTTTTGTCCCGCGGCGTTGGACTCGTTCCAACATACCCGCCTCATATTTGAAACAAGGACTCGCTGCTTGAATCCCATATTCTAAATGTGGCCGTACGAAAGTTGGGTATAATAATCTAAACATTTCCCCATCCAGATACCGGAAAGATCTACAAATAGACCATAATGCCCTATAGCCTTTTGCAGCAGCAGCCTTACAGTGACTGGTTGGTTTGAGATCATTACTTAATATGACTCCTAAATCTTTATAGTTTCTTACTTTGGGCAACACTAGTCCACATATTGTGTAGTGATACGAATCATCGTAGATATTTAATTGCATCACAACACTTTTATTAAGGTTTACTTCTAGTGACCACCCATTCATCCATGCAACTAATGAGTTAAGATCTTCCTGTAAAACTATTCTGTCTGACATACTAGATATGGGTCTCCAAATCTTAATGTCATCGGTGAATAGTAGGACGGATGACTTAGCCATAGCTGGTAATTCATTTATATAAAGTAAAAAGAGAAGAGGACCTAAAACCGTGCCTTGGGGGACGCCACTTTTTACTGGTTCCCACGATGAGAGAGCCCCATTTACTCTTACCCGTTGTCTCCTTTCATGAAGAAAGTCACTTAGCCAGTCTATGACTGCATAATGAATTCCAAAACTTTCTAGTTTCAATTTAAGACCAGAATGGGAAACCTTATCAAAGGCTTTACTTAGATCTATGAAAATGACATCTACAGGAATATTGCGATCTTTTGCCTCAGCCCAATCTTCTCTTGCAATGAGAAGATTTGTCAAACATGATAGACCTTTTCGAAAACCATGTTGTTCCTTTGACAAAAGATCATGTCTTTCCACATAGTTTATAACAGCCATCCTAATAATTTTTTCCATTAGTTTTACAACTGCACTAGTTAAGCTGACGGGTCGATAGTTACTAACTAAATCCCTACCCCCAGTCTTATACACCGGACTGATTATTGCGTCCTTCCAGTCTCTGGGCAATCTGGACCGCCGTAGGGACATATCGAACAGCATCGCTAAGGGTTCAGCAATAACATCTGAGAGGGCTTTCATAATCCGAGGATGAATATCATCAGGACCACTAGACTTATCAGGTTTGAGATGCTGGAGTAGGCTTAAAACAGTTTCTTTCTTAATAACTACAGGGTCCATCAACAAGTCGCCACAATCACAATGAATAGGTGATCGTTCCTCATTATTGGTAGAAAAAACTTTACTGAAATATTCCGAAAAAGCTTCCGCTTTTTCGGTATCATTTCTTGCCAAACTTAACGGATTTTCTTGTACCGAAAGTGATGGTATTCCATCACTTCTCTGAGTTCGCCTCTTTATATACGAGAATAACCGTTTGGGACTATGTTTGCAATCCCTAACCAATTGTTTTTCGTATGACCGTCTAGTTCTACTAATTAATGCTTTACAATTATTTCTAATCTTACGATAACTAGATCTGTACTGTTCTAAGCCAGTAGAGATGAACATGTTCCAGTGTTTTTTTATACGCCTAAGGAGTTTCTTAACTTCTTTATTTATCCACGGTGGACTATTGTTCGGTCTACGTGGCACCAAGTATGGTATAAACGGGGACGTGACTGCACTAAACTTGCCTTTAAATACAGACCACGCCTCATCAACTGATGAGCTAGTATCTACTGACCAATCTATCTTAGTAGCACAATCCTGAATTTCTGGTATGTTAGCTCTCCATATGTTTGGGCGAGGCTTAATCTGATCGTATATCATATCGCTAGCTCTAAACGTGAATGATAAAACAGCGTGATCGCTATTTACTAACGGGGGAAGAATATTTAGGTTGGCAATATCCTCAGTCTCATGGGTAATTACCAAGTCCAACAGAGAAGAACCTTGGTTTACACCGAAACGTGTAGGTTTGGATACATGTTGTACTAATGCATGTTCCATTACTGTTTCCAAGAGCCTGCTATCAAATGAGTTTATAGAGCATTTCGTGGTCATCTCAGTCCAACTAATGTCAGGTGCATTAAAGTCTCCTAATATCAAGCATCTGTTATTTGCACTCCATAGCCGAATGTGCTCTAAAATAAAGTCATCAGCTAAGCAGATTGGGCTGCGATAGATGACACCGAGTGCAAATGTACAACATCCGACAGTGAGTTCACAGCTAATGACTTCACTAGTTCCACTATCATGGGATTCGAAAGCGGAGGAGCGGATATTTATACTATTGGCTATGTATAGAAGGACGCCACCTCCTTTCCTGCAACTATGTCTATCACTTCTTAAACAATGATATCCGGATAATTCTGGGGTGATATCGAAGTCATGGACTAACCAAGTTTCCGTCACAGCTACAATGAGTGGCCTTAATTTGTCCACTAATGTTCCTAGCTCGTAGAATTTATGTTTTAGACTACGGGCGTTGGCATATAAAACTCCTAGGGGGAACGACCTATCCACACAGGCCTTGGTAGCATTCGCTTCCAAGACCTGACTCTTCGGAAACCCACCAATCGGAGATTTTCTTCACCGTTTTGTCGACGGGTTTCTAGTTCAGCTAGTGCCGTCTTCCTTTTTATTCTATCTTCAAGAGACACATCCGGTCGCATCCGAATGTCAGAGTTGTCGTGACTTCGAGCGTTACTTAACAGAAGATTACGTTGTTTCTCCGACCCTAAGATTACCTTAAGGAGTCTACACGGTCGGGGTAGAACACTGTCATCGGCTCTTTTACCTATTCTAACTAATTTTTTGACCTGAACACCTTTAGTGTTATCTGGTAATATGCTACGGATATATTCTCCGGGCCTCTCTAAGTCATGGGTGTGTCTAACCTTAGGATCTGGATCGTTAGACTCTGGCAATTTACTCACAATAATATTCGATGATATTAAATTCCTCTCAGTCGCACTAGGATGATGATCTGCCGTTCTATCAGAGTGCGATAATGCATTGAGTGACTCAGACTGTGAGTTCCTCAATGGCTTGTCAACCAAGTGTGCTTTATCATTAGCTTTTTTTCCTTTTCTTTTCCTCTTTACTGCGGTCCATTTTTGGTCATTCAGGACAGCTGCATTGGGACTATTGGGGACGGTGACGGTTTTATCCGGGTCCTCAGTTTCTACTAAAGATGCATGATTACTCATGTCAATACCATGTGGTGATTTACTCCTCGTTTGTTGTAACGGAAGTTTCACTTTGTCATTAATTAGAGTAGGTTGTTCAGTGCGTTTTGTAACAGCACTTACAACACTGACACAGTCTTCACTGTCAGTGCTTGCGTTACTAGCGCACCCACTATCTTTCTTTTTACAGGCTAGAGCCAATAGGCTCATAGCCTCTTGAATTAATGTCGTCTTGTTAGTACAGCAGAACATACAAAGCCAGTGCGAGTTAGGCTTAGAACATCTTTTGTATGCAGCTGGACTGAGACTGGTACACATCTTGTGGTACCATTTTTTGCATTCATCGCACTGCATCCCTTCATCTACGGGGAATAAACAGTTCGGCTGTCCACATTTGAATGAACTACCATCCATTGTAATCAGGTTAGGTTTAAAACACAATATGATCACAATAATAGAACAATCGTCAGAGTATATGCAAAAGAAGGAACCACGAGACAAAGTTTTCAATAAAATTTCAAACATTAACTGGATTAATTCAAGTTAAAGTAAACCAAGAATGCTTTTGATACAGCAAATACACAAAAGCAACGATAATCACAACAAGTATGAAAGTCACTGCCCTTTTAGAAACGCGAGAATTGTAATTTGTGCATTCAGCCTGTTGTAAGAAAATATGGTTCAAATGGTCGAGGACGGAATGGAAGAAACTTTCGCTTAACGGGCTTCCGTGTCTGGTATCAGTGGATCACCAATACCTCCAGGCAAAAACCTGGGTATATGAACGATAATAGAGGGGGAAAAAGAATTTGGTAAATCATAATAATATGTTATCCTTAGTCCTTAGGAATAAGTCAAGTTCCCTCTTAAAGGACTCCTGGGAGGTCGCTTGGACTAGTTCAGTCGGCACTTGA